TGGAGCTCACTTGGTAGCCCAGGCTGGCCTCGAACTCACAGAGATCCGCCTGCCTCTGCCTCCCGAGTGCTGGGATTAAAGGCGTGCGCCACCACGCCCGGCGGCTTGCAGTATACTCTTAACTCGGTTCTTCTGCTCTTGGAATGGTTTTGGTGACCAAAAACTCTTTATTGACATCTTGCTGTGAGGAAGAACACCAATACCAAGTTCTGTTTGTTTGTAATCTAAAAAAGAATCCTAGGTGTTCCCTCCAAGCTTTTTTAAGGATCTGAGTTCATTTCCACATATACCGTAGATGAAGTTCCCTTGAAATACACTCTTGTGCATTCTCTACACTGCTTTCCAGTTTGTACTTATTATGATTATTTGTCTCCACTGAAAACCTCCACGGGGCAAGAAATTGGGTTTATTTTCTTAACCATTGTCATGGTTGGGAACCCAGCACACTTAACATTGTAGTTAGGCATTTAACTATTCTTGAGTACTTTGAACCTTTTATGATAAATCCAAGACTTACTGAAAATGTGAGTTTTTCCTGTAAATGAAGATGTATTATAGTTATTTGGAATTCATATTTTGAAAGTAAAAAGCTTGTAAGAAATACATGTTCAAGCTGTTAGGATTTTTAGATAGTTCCTAGTAAACATGGGAGGACAAAAAAATGTAGTACCCAGCTTTTCCTCCTTTATTCCTTCACCTACTTCAGCGAAAAGGTCAGCATGAAGGATTATAGGTTCTAAAATGTAATACCACACAATGGAAGTCAAACTTGAGACAGCTGATGATTTACTTCCTGAGTGGTTGGCAGACAGGATCCAGGAAATCTGTGGAAAACTCAAAGTAACCAGAGTGGAAAGTGGTGCTTCCCTTGTTTTTAATAGTTTAAGCAAAACACTTCTACACATAAAATTAAATCAATTTAAACAGTTTTTAAAGATTTTACACAGTAGGTAACTAGTAGCAAATGAACTGTTTGAGATCATTGAATGATCGCTTATGGAAATGGACATACAGAAGGGTGGGGTTTTTTGTTGCTCCAGAGCCCTAGCTGGCATTGAACTCTGTCTTCCAGACTGTTTCCTGAGTGCTAAGATTACCATCCCCCATTGAGAAAAAACGTCGTCTTAAGATCCTTGTATTTTTGGAACTTGATTATTATTTCCCAACAGTACTGACCCTTCTTTAGTTTGACCGTTAATTTCTTGAAGCTCACTTATGTAGAAAAGCATCTGCTATACCAGAAACAGATGTGGAAGTGTTTGTTTAGTCATCCAGGGTAGGGAGACAAAGCAAATGGAGTCAAAAGAATGCTTGCTTACTCTGGGAGAGTCTTCTGACTTAAACAGTGGTTCACCTAATCCACGCCATCAGTAACTATGACAACCTTTGTGTACCAGTAAGGAAAAAATGTTATCCAGTAAACCATCACTACTGATTATAAAGCAGCCCAATTCAGGGATGTTAACATTTGAAAAAAATGTCATCACAAAGTTGATGAAATACCTATGTGGTTGGATATGGCAATGGCCTTTGTACGACAATAGTCATTGAAAGGTTATTTCTTTGAACTTGTGAGATTGTCCTATGATAATCAAATTTGTGATAATTAAAAATGTAATTTAGAGGCAGCTAGACCTAGTGCTACTTTGAAGGCTTATTTAATATTTGTGAAGATAATCTGTCTAAACATCTGAGCTATGAGGTGTTTTACAAACTGACTTAAAAAAAGTGGACTTAAGTTTAAGGAGTTAAACTGAGCAGACGGTTAAAATTCCAGTTGTGGCCAAATTCTGTATGATTATCCAAATAGTTTAATTGGCAAACATTGTGCCTCTGATTTGAAGGACTATTACCAAGCTGTTAAGGAGCAAGAGAGGGCCTTCACATTCTGGGTTAAGAATTCAAGCTGTGCTCACAGGGACTGGAAGGAAAATGAAGCAAGGGTGACATTGAGATAGGTGTGTTTCCGCACTCACTCATTTGGGCTGGGTTGATTTTCTGTTCTGTAACTTGAGGTGAAGACTGTATCTTCATGCTACTGTTGTGTGATATTTTGTGTTCTGACAAATAAAGCTTGCCTGGAGATCAGAGGGTGGAGCTAGCCATTAGTTAACTGTAGAGGCCAGGCCGTGAGGGGTGACACACCTTCAATCCCAGCACTTGGGAGGAGGAAGCAGGAAGATCAGGAGTTCAAGGCCACCCTGGGCTACAGGAGCTTGAATTAGTTTAAAAAGAAACAGCTGGTTGGTGGTGGCGCATGCCTTTAATCCCAGCACTAGAGATAGGAATATAAGGCAGGTGGAGAGGATTTGTAGAGATTGGCCCATTCAGTGTGAGGATTCATAGAGACAAGGCCAGTCCTTTCAGTCTGAGCATTCCGTGAGAAGTTACTGTGGGTTGCTCTGCTTCTCTGATGCTCCAGGCAAGCTTTATTTATCAGAACACAAAAAATGTTACCTATCTGTTAGTGACCATGAGCTCAGAGACAATTAAGAGTTAGATCACGTAGTTCCTGGCCATCCTCATTAGTCCCTCAAACCAATACTTGGATCCTCTTTCCCTTGTTTTCTGGGAAAGGAATACCCAGGAAGGTTAAATTGCTTATTCTCTCAGTCTTTGTTGCCTTTTTTTTTAAAAAAAATTTTTTTTGGATAGTCACTATGTAGCTCAGATGGCCTCCAACTTTTAATCTTTTGCTTCAGCCTCCCATGTGCTCAGATTCCAAATAAATAGTGTTCTCTCTCTACTCCCTCCCCACTTTCTCCAGTGTCTCTTATGTGGCTGATCCCAAACTCACAGAGATCAGCCTGCCTCTGCCTCCTGAATGTTGGGATTAAAGGTGTGTGCCACAATGTCAGGTCAATAATTGTATCCTCTGTAACCCATTAACACTTGTGAAATTGCTTTCAATTATATAGTGACTAGCCAAATTTTTAAAAAGGATATAGAAGCCAGGTCGTGGTGGCGCACGCCTTAAATCCCAGCACTCCGGAGGCAGAGTCAGGTGGATCTCTGTGAGTTCGAGGCCAGCCTGGTCTACAGAGTGAGATCTAGGACAGGCACCAAAACTACACAGAGAAACCCTTTCTCAAAATAAAATTAAATAAAAAATAAATAAAATGAAGCTGGGTGGTGGTGGTGGTGGTGGTGGTGGTGCATGCCTTTAATCCCAGCACTCTGTAGGCAGAGCTAGGAGGATCTCTGTGAGTTTGAGGCCAGCTTAGGCTGCCAAGTGAGTTCCAGGAAAGGTGCAAAGCGACACAGAGAAACCCTGTCTCAAAAAACCAAAACCAACCAAACAAATAAATAAATATAATAAATAAATAAAATGATAAAAGGGATATAGAATTGGGCCTGATGATGTATATTTTTAATTCCAAGAACTGGGATGCTGAGGTAGGAAGATCCTGACTGTTATGGCTTCATATATAAATAGACCCTGTCTCAGTGCTATTCTCCCAATAATAGGATATATATCAAGTACTCTGTGTATTTGGTAAGACATTTGTTACCATCTAAATGTGAGTGTGTATCTGTGGCATATAATTGTATATGCTTTATGCATTTATATGTTACAGATAATTGTGCATGTTTTGGTTCACAGTACTAAAGGCATTACTCTAATCAAGTAGAGAATTTTGAAACACTATCACATCTTAGTTCTTTCATTTCTTTGCTAATCGTCTACCCTGAAAGTTCAGTGTATTTTTCAGAGACTGTCCTCTATCAGAGCCTTAGAAATACTTAGAAGTTTTTTTGGGGGGTTTTTTGTTTTTGTTTTAAAGAAATGGTCACTCTAGTGATGCTCTATTTTTAGGTTTTTGCAGGCAAGCATGCCTTATAGAGGCCAGAAGAGGGTGTCAGGATCTGGAGTTATGGTGGCTATGAAACACCAGATATAGGTGCTGGGAACTGAACTCAGGTCCTCTGAAGAGCCCCACAATTTTTATAAGATACTTTAGGGGCATGAAAAACAGCTCAATGTCGTGCTGGTTCCTGGGTCTTACGTCCTGAATTCATTCAAGCCCCAGGACACACGTGGTGGAAGGAGAAAACTATCTTCCCTTCTGTAAATTGTTTTCTGACCTTCACATGCAAACACATACATGCAACAAATGTCACTACATGTCTCTCTCCCTCCCTCCCTCCCCTCTCTCTGTGTGAATCTATATAATTTTGTAAAAGAATTTTATTGCTTATCCCTAGTACATTACTTGAAACAGAAAGTAACATGCACTTTGGCTGAACCAGGAACAAGAAACATGAGCTGGTCAAGGTGGAATAATCCTGTAATCCCAAAATGCAGGAATTTCCTGACCAGTCTGAGCTACATAGTGAGGCTCCATCTCATTTTTTTCATTTTTATTTATTTTTCTATTATCAGCTTAATACAGTACAAATTCTTATCCTAATAGTGAAATGTTTCCCTGAGGCTTGAGTAAAACCAAAACTTATTATAAGCCACAGTCATCCTAGGGTCCCCCTGCTTTGTCGTCTCCCTGGTTCTGTGGGTTGCAGTCTGATTGTCCTTTGCTTTATATCTAGAATCCACTTATGAGTGAGTACATACCATGTTTGTTCTAATGGGTTTAGGTTGCCTCACTCAGGATTTTTTCTAGTTCTATCCATTTGCCTGCAAATTTCATGCTGTCATTGTTTTTCTCTGCTGAGTAGTACTCCATTGTGTATATGTACTACATTTTCTTAATCCATTCTTCAGTTGACGGGCATCTGGGTTGTAGAAACATTTAATATGAGATATATAGACTTGTAAATTTCAAGGCGTTGAGACTTTTTAGAAGTTGAAAGTTTTTGACTTTCGTGAAATGCCAAACAACCTCTTTAGAAGATTCCAGTGAATTCCTAAAATCCACACTCCTGAAAGGATTTTTGTAGCCTAAAGAACCGAGAAAGCCATGGAGGCTCTAACATCAGCATTTGGGAGATGGGGATTGTGACAAGGTCCAGGTCAGCCTTACCTACATAATTATCTTCAGGCCAACCAGGACTACATAGATCATGTCTGAAAAACAAAATAAATCCCAAATACAAGCCAGAAATGGTGGCTCGCGCTTGTAATTTGGGGTACACGTCACAAAACAAAACAATGAAAAGCCCCAAAGCAAATTATACTTTGGCCATTAGTGTGTAGGCATGCATCACATTACTTTAAAAATTCTCCTGTACACAGGTCCTGGGATTCTAGAACTTTGGTGCGGAGATGGCACCGACAGGGTTTTGAAGGAGGCTACATTCAAGTTCCATTAGCAACTTTCGGTGGAGGAACGGAAGGAAGAACCTTTACCATTCCTTCTTACGTACACTATTGTTATTTAAATGTCGCGATAATCCCCGCGGGGAATTTTGCTCTGACGGTTTAGCGACGGCTCTGATGGGTCCCAAGGGGAAAGCTCAGGCAGAGGAACGAGGAAAAGCAACACTCGACACTTTCGGAAGCACGGAGCGCCGCGGAGGAGGAAGGGGAGGGGCCGCGCACGCGCAGCGCGGTCCCAGCGCCTCAAGCTGGTTTTTCTCCAGCCGCCGACGTCCTCTCAGTGCTGTACGGTGGCCGGCGCGGGGCAGACGCTGGCGATGAATGGAGGTGCAGGGTGCAGGTTGAAATAAGCCTTCTCTGCTTTCCCCTCTTTCCCCGCCGTTTCTGCCTCCCCCCCCCTTTTTTTTTTGCCGTGTCCCCATTCTTGCCCCCGCTCTGTCGACGACCCCGTTGGTCCCAGCGTCTGAGTTCTTGGTGCCCGAGTCGACCCCGGGCACAGCCGGTGTTTGGGGATCCGGATAATCGCCTAGGCCCAACTTCGGACCGCGCTCTCGATTTCTGCCTCGCCCGGCGCTCGGACGCGGAATCCGAGTGGGTCTCTTGAGACTGGAGGGTAGATCTTAAGGTATGAAGCGCCGGCTTCTCGGGCCCAAGTGCCGCTTTGTCTGAAGTACGCCCGACTCCTCTTAGCCCGGGGCACTCGGTTTCTCATTGCTACCAGGCAGAGACCCCTGAGCACACAGGTCTTGTCACTTCTGCCTCGAGCTCACTCTGCTGTTAAAAGACCGGCGCTTACTATTGAAAACAGCAGCATTTCTGTCCACGACTCTTTACCCACATCTCTGTTAGTGAGTGGGTCTTAAGGCGGGGTGGCTTCTGCTCTCTGTCCAGTGTCATCTCTTTTTTGCCGCCTTTTAAACATTTGTTCAAGATCCACAAGTGTCCAAGAGAGAGTCTCTTTTCATCCCTCAGCTGGTTGTGCCTCTACGTCTGTTCTATACCTCCCCTATAACATAAGGGATACAGGATAGCGTCGTGGGCTTCAGAACCTTGACTCTGACGTTACTTTTGGCCCATGGGATGATTTACCAGTGTCTCCATCTAGTTGGGAGGTGGAAAGGGAAGCTCAGTTGATATACAAGGTGCGCTTGTGAAGAAACTGCGGCCATTCATTTTCTCTCCGTATTTCATGGAGCTCATCCAAGAGGCATAATGAGAAAAGTCTTGGACTGGTGTTTAGTATAGAAGGGTTCAGCCTGGAATTTTCCCACCAAGTAGTGATATTACTTTTACTTTATTCTCTGGAGCTCATGCTGTATTTATAAAACAAAGAGTATTAGGGCACAGGATCCCTGAGTTTGGAAGAGACATTAGTCTGCAGTTTTTCTTCTCATATTCCAAATGTCAGGAGAAACATGGGGAGACAGGGAAACGTGGTCTTGAATTGTGCCAGCCACATTGTCAACACAGGGACCTACTAAATGTCCCCCACTCGCTTTCACAGTTTTAAGAAGGGTTTTCCTATGTGTGGGAATGAGATACCTGCTTTCATTTTGTTGTTTTTGGCTCTTTAGGATCAAGAGTGATGATGACCGAGTGTACAAGCCTTCAGTTTGTCAGCCCTTTTGCTTTTGAAGCCATGCAGAAGGTGGATGTTGTTCGCTTGGCGTCTCTAAGTGATCCAGAACTAAGGCTTCTCTTGCCCTGCTTGGTGAGGATGGCACTTTGTGCTCCTGCTGACCAGAGTCAAAGCTGGGCTCAGGATAAAAAACTCATTCTTCGCCTTCTGTCTGGAGTGGAGGCTGTCAACTCCATTGTGGCACTGTTGTCTGTGGACTTTCACGCCCTAGAACAAGATGCCAGCAAAGAACAACAACTTCGGTAATGTGGCATTCTGTGTGGCTTGGGATTTACTTGATATTCCTCCTCAGGAAGGAATCACGTGATGCTCGGAGCTGTCAGGGCTCCAGAAAAGAGAGAGTGAAAACTTAAGTTTGGAGAACATTTTCCAGAGGTCTTTTCTGTTTATAGTTAAAATTCTGAGAGCTTTCTGTGTTATCACATGTTACCTAGAGAGGATTAGCTACATAGTAGGTCAGTTACCCCTAGTGGGAAGAGAGCAGGATAATGTCTAGGATGGAAGGTTTTATTGGAATCACTGAGCCTTTTAAGGTGACAATTAGTTCCCTGAGACTCCTGGCTGGTGTTAGATCCTTTCCGGCCCATCACGTATCTGTTAGTGAGGCTTTGTTCCAGAAGTCAGTGGCCATTGTTAGTTTACAGTTCGTGAGCTCTTGGAATACATAGACAAACTAAGTATTTCAGAGGAAGTGGAAGCCATTAGAATGACTCCATGACACTGTATTACTACAGCAGAAACAGGTGCTGATGCCTGGCCAGTGTTGTGACTTGTTTTCCGTGTTTGCACTCCACTAGGCATAAGCTCGGAGGAGGCAGTGGAGAGAGCATCCTGGTATCACAGCTCCAGCATGGACTGACGCTAGAATTTGAACACAGTGATTCACCTCGTCGACTGCGGCTCGTGCTTAGTGAACTGTTGGCAATTATGAACAAGGTGGCTAAAAAAAAAAAATCCTCAGCCCAAAGTATTTATGATTTGATATCTACATCTAGAAAATAGTAAAAAAATAGCAGCAAGAATGCAGACGGGTTATGTGTTCTGCTAGTGTTTCTGTTTGGTTTCTGTTCTTTCAAAGACTGAAGTGGTTTTTTTTTTTTTTTTTTCTCCCAGAGGCAGAGTTTCTCTGTGTAGCCCTGGCTGTCCTGGAATTCATTCTGTAGACAGGCTGGCCTCGAATTCACAGAGATCTACCTGCCTTTGCCTCTTGAGTGAGATTAAAGACATGTGCCACCACTGCCTTTAATGATTTAAAAGCATGTGTTAAAGGCAATTGTCTTTATCTAATTACTATTTTCTTGCATTCATAGCCACTCTGCACTATTTTTGTTTGTTTGTTTGTTTGTTTGTTGGTTTGTTTTTTGCTTTTTGAGACAGTCTTTCTATATGGCCCTGGCTATCCTGGAACTCATGTAGACCAGGCTGGCTTCGAACTCACAGAGTTTGCCTGCCTCTGCCCATTGAGTGCTGGGATTAAGGGTGTGCACCACCAGGCACAGGTATTCTGTATCCATCATCATCATCAGTATTTTTTGTATGTATGGAATTTATATAATGAGTTCTTAATATCTTTTATATGTATGAATGTTTTGCTTGATTATATGTCTGTGCACTATATGAGGGCCTGGCGCCTGCAGAGTTCGGAGACAGCATAGGCTTTATTAATATATATTAATTAATTCATAAATATCATAAATACTTGGGAACAGACTGGAGTTATTGATTGTGAGCCACATTGTCCGTGCTGGGGACCAAACCTGGATTCTTTGCAAGAGTAACGGGTACTCTTAACCAGCTGAGCTGTTTCATCTCTTAGCCACTAACATCTGTTCAAAGGAATTGAACTTGTTTAAATTACTAAGTTTGTTAATACTTTTTTTGTTGGTTTTTGTTTTGTTTTGTTTTTTTTTGCTTATCCATTATAGGATAAAATATCTCCCATAAAATATTGTAAAGTATGACTTAAAAATGTGTTCAGTTCATCTAGATACTGGTATTAAATGCCCCCTGTGACATGGAGTATCAAAGTTGAACTAGATACAGGATGATGGATTAGCTTGCTCCACCCACTAGACTGTTTAGTTGTCTGTAATGGAGACTATCCAAAGTTCTTTCTGGGCTGGGGAGATGGCTCAGGTGGGTAAAATTTTTGCTGAGCAGATGTGAGGACTTGACTTGGAGTCTCTGGAACCTGTACACACCATGTGAGGCGGTAAACACCATGTGAGGTGGTGCACACCATATGAGGCGGTGCACACCATGTTAGGTGGTGTACACATCATGTGAGGCGGTGCACATCTGTCATCCCAATGGACTGTCATGAGGTGAGAGACAGAATCCGTGGGCACTCAGTTGCCAAGGAGCCTGGTGTACACACCAAACAACAGAAAGAGGGGCCCCTTTGGGTTGGAGAGATGGCTTATCAGTATAGAGTACTAACTGTTCTTATAGGGGATCCAAGTTCGATTCCCAGCCTCCGCATGGCAGCTTACAATTGTCCATAACTCACACAGGTGGTGTATAGACATATACAGGGAAAACACCAATACACATAAAATGAATTTGAGAGAGAGAGAGAGACCTGGTCTCAAGCAAGGTGGAAGTTGAGAACTAATACTGGATATTGTCCTCTAATCTCCATTCACACGAATGCATACACATATATCATACACAAGTATACACACAGAGGAAAGTTATAGGTTACTTTAAGTCATGGACCTTTGGCTAATTATGGTTACCTGAAACTTTCCCACACTCTCTGATTTTCCTACATCTTATAAATACATGGTGGCCCTGATAAGAGACCTTTTCTTCTGTAGAGTTTTTAATGCCCGACATGACGTTATCATGTGGGAAATATGGTGACATATTGCCATAGAGAATTTAAGGAAGATAGTGGATATTTTCTTCATCTTTTTTGTTGTTGTTGTTTCCTCCGTCAAATTTGTCTACTTTTTTTTTTTTTTTTTTTTTTTTAAGATTTATTTATTATGTTAGGTATACAGTATTCTGCCGGCATGTGGCCAGAAGATGGCACCAGATCTCATTACAAGTGGTTGTGAGCCACCATGTGGTTGCTGGGAATTGAACTCAGGACCTCTGGAAGAGCAGTCAGTGCTCTTAACCACTGAGCTATCTCTCCAGCCCCCCCCCCCTTTTTTTTTTGAGACAGAGCTCCAAAGGGTATTTGCTTAGGATGACGTCGGACTTCTGATCTTCCTGTCTCAGCTTTCTGTATGCTAGGTTGCTGGCCTGTACCACTTTTCCAGGCTCCAGGTGTCAGTCCTTGTTAGTTAGTTTACGTTTCTCTGTTGGTCATTAGAATGAAATGAATTTGTATTTGTTATACTGCTTTAAACTTACAATTTAAAAAAATAATTGTTTTTTTAATGTGTGTGGATGTATAGGTTGGCACACTTATAGAAGTCAGAGGTTAACTTTCAGGGGTTCTCTCTCTGTTTCTACTATGGCTTCTGGGAATCATACGCAGGACATGAGGTTTGGGCTAGGGCTTTTACCTGCTGAGACATCTTGCAGCTTAGATTTTTTTTTTTTTAATTTTGTTTTTCAGGACAGAGTTTATCTGTATAGCCCTGTCTGTCCTGGAACTCACTCTGTAGAACAGGCTGGCCTTGAACTCACAGAGATCTGCCTGCCTCTGCCTCCTGAGTTCTGGGATTAAAGGTGTGCACCACCAACCCTTGGCTCAGTTTTGTGTTTTTTAATCAACAGCTTATATGGATAGCATTCCTACATTGATTCTTGGCTTGCCTTATCCTTTAATTTCAAGTATCTCTAAAAATGTAGATTGGAATAACTTCTCCCCACCCTTCCTTCTTTTTTGTGGGGGGTGGGGGGTTGGGGGGGTGGGGACGACGACGACAGAGTTGCACTAGGTGCCAGGGTGGCCTTTGAACTTGAGATTCTTCTACCTCAGCTTCTCAAATGGTAGGATTACAAGATGCAACCAGTGTGCAGTTCCTGAGACTGATGCTACCATGTCTGAGTAATAGTCACAGTTAAATGGCTTAAAATTGAGAGGGTCCCACATGCTTTGCTGCAGTGTATTAGTTGTGTTGAAAGTGATGACTTGAGCCTGGCTGTGCTGGATCACACCTTCAATCCCAGCACTCGAGAGGCGGGGATAAGATCGGGAGTTTTATACCATCCTAGGCCAGTAGATTAAAGTCTAGCCTGGTCTATGTACTGAGTTCAGGCCAGCCACAGCTACATGGTGAGACCCTACCTCAAACAATCACAGCATAAACTTACGATTTGTGAGCTCGAAAACAAAAATATTAAAAATTATTTGAAATTAATAGTTCTTGCCTGTTTTTCCTCTTTTCTCTAAGGTATCGGAGTCCAATGGAGAGTTCTTTTTCAAGTCTTCTGAGCTCTTTGAGAGTCCAGTGTACTTGGAGGAAGCTGCAGATGTTCTCTGTATCTTACAAGCAGGTACTTGACTGACTGGGTGTCAGGATACATTTCAGATAGAGTGTCGAGTGCAGTGTTACTGTGTGACTCCTTAGCTAGCCTGCAATGCTAGATGTGTGTCTGTGGGTGTACACAGGATGTCCTGAAACTGGAGGTATAGGCAGTTATGAGCTGCCTGATGTGGATGCAGGGACTCAGGCTTCTTGCAAGAGCAGTATCTTCTCTCCAGCCCCAAATTTGGTATTTAAGGATTATCAAAACTGGGTAGGGTCTAGCATGTGGGAGGAGGCTGAGACAGGAGTATTGTGACAAAATCCAGACCAACTTGGGGTATGAAGTGAGATCATGTTTCAAATAACACCCTCCACACACACACACACCAAAACAAAAACCTTAAAAATGTAAAAGTTATTTACTAAAAATAAGTCTTAAAATTTTAAGTTAAAGGGCTGGAGAAATGGTTCAGTGGTTAAGAGCACTTGATGCTCTGCCAGAGGACCTTAGTTTGGTTCAGGTGACTCACAACTGCCTATAATTCCAGCTCCTTGGGATCTAGCAGCCTCGAATAGACACACCCACATATACATAAATTAAATCTTTTTTTTTTTTTTTTTTTTTGAGACAGGGTTTCTCTGTGTAGCTTTGGAGCCTTTCTTGGAACTCACTCTGTAGCTCAAGCTGGCCTCAAACTCACAGAGATCTACCTGCCTCTGCCTCCTGCGTGCTGGGATTAAAGGCGTGCGCCACCAGCCACCACCATCCAGGCATAAATTAATTCTTAAAAAAAATTAAGCCGGGCAGTGGTGGTGCACGCCTTTAATCCTAGCACTTGGGAGGCAGAGGTAGGCAGATCTCTGTGAGTTCGAGGCCAACCTGGTCTACAGAGGGAGTTCCAGAGTAGCCAAGACTAGACAGAGAAACCCTGTCTTGGGAGAAAAAAAAAAGTTTAAATTAAACGTGACTAGTATTAGAACAAAGACCAGTGACTTAGACTATTTGTAGAGTATGCCATATCATGTACACATTAGCTTTGTATATTTGATTTAATGACTTAAAATTTTAGTGATTTTATAAATGTTCATAATGTGTTAGATCAAAAAGCAAAGGGCAAAGGAAGTAAATTTAATCTCAGTTTTACTTAATGCTAAAATTATCAATTGAGAGGATTAAAATTAAATATTAAATATATTTACTATTATAAATATATTAAATACATATAAATAGGATTAGAGCTAACATACATTTCTTTTTCTTTGTATCTTTTTTTGCTTTTCTAGATTCTTTTTAATAGGTGTATATGATAAAATAAAAACAAGATATAGAAGTGTAAAGATTTTATGAAAATACTTTCTTAGACCAGTGCTATTTAGGGCAACTTCTGCCACATTCTGCATTGTGTTGTCCACTTAGTAGCCCCTGCCTTGCCTCATGTGGCTGTAGGTTAACTGAAGGTAGCTAATGTGACTAAGGAACTCTTACTTTATTAGTACTGGTGAGTTGCATTTTGATGACATCTTTGAAATGCCAGCTGTTGAGCAGATAACACTTTAGGGTCATGCCTCAGTAGTGACGGTGGCCTTTTGTCTTCCAGAGCTCCCTTCCTTGCTTCCTATAGTCGATGTAGCCGAAGCCTTGCTACATGTTAGAAATGGTGCCTGGTTCTTATGTCTCTTGGTAGCCAATGTTCCTGATAGTTTTAATGAAGGTAAATATAATTTAAAAATGAAATATTGGAGAACTGTGGTTTGACTTGTTTAGGGTGGCTTTTTTTTTAAAGACAGAGTCTTACTCTGTATTCTGGGCTGTCCTTGAACTGTGATTGTTTTGCCTCTGCCTTCTGAGTGGTGCTGGCTGCATGGCTCCGTATTTAGTGCTGTGTCCCCTCCCTTCTGTTCTGGTTTGGAACCCAGTGACTAACATGCTAGACAAGTAGTCTGCCTCTGAGCTACACCCCAGACCAGTCTGGCTTTTAATTGAAGAGTCTACATAATTTATATAAACCATTTAATGTAATTACTGTGGTGGTTAGGTGTGTCCTGTTATTTTTATCTCTTTTTTCCTTTGTATTATTTTTTAATTTAATTCACGAGTGTTATAAGTTCCAAAGTGTATTCTTGCTGCTTTCATTTTAAGTAATTAATTCTTCTTTCTTCTGATTTGTGTGTGTGTGTGTGTGTGTGTGTGTGTGTGTGTGTGTGTGTATGTGTGTAGATCAGAGGACAACTTCCAAGAGTAGGCACTGTCCTACCATGTGGGTCCCAGGAATTGAACTCAGTACTAAGTCTTGGTGACAAGCACCTTGACTTGCTCAGCCACTTTAGCAGCCCTCTTTTCTGATTTTTGTGACAGGGTCTCACTGTTGCAGCCTGGGTGACCTTGAACTTTAAGTAGCCTGCCTCTTCCCAGTGCTGGCATTATAGGTGTGTACTGCCATGGCCAGCTGACTTTAAAGTCCTTTAAAAACATGGAGAAAAGGCTTTATCTACAGAGTTATTATTTTTGGTGTTCTTCATTGAATTGCCTTAATTTCATGTAGTATAGAGTATTTAAACTTATTTTTTATTTTGTTTTTATTTACGTGTGTTTGGGATTGAACCCAGAGCTATTTGCTTTGTCAGTGAGCTATGCCTTTAGCTTTGAAGAGTCGATTTCTCGGCAGCAGTTTTCCCAGTCATCTTTATTTTCAGTACTGGGGACTGACCGCTGTCCTTGCACTGTCTCGCCACTGTTTTGCACGTCTCTCTCTTTTCACTTTCTCATTTTGAGACAGAGTCTCACTAAGATGTCCACGTAGACTTGAACTCACTTTGTTGCTGAAGCAGGCTTTGAACTTGTGTTCCTCCTGCCTGATACCCAGGTAGCTCACATTACTGTGCTACTAGGCTGAAGTAGTTGTTGTTTTTGTTTTCTGGGAATTGACTGCATAGCCACATGGGTGCTAGTCTGGTGCTCTTCCACTCAGCTTAGCCCTAGCTTTTTTTTTTCTCTTGTGACACTGAATCACTCTGTAGCTCCAGTTGGCCTTGATCTCACATATGTAGCCCAGGCTGGCCTCCAGTTTGAGATTCCCCTCAGTCTCCCTAGTGCTGTGATTATCAGTTGTGTACCACCGTGGCCAGTGTGCATACATGTAGTTGTTTGTCGCCTTGTCTTTCTGGGTTTGTGGTTGCGGGTGTGAGCACGTGTCCTCCGTGTCGTCCCTTTCTCCCCTGTACCCTTTGACCTGGTGTCTGCTGCTGTGCTGTCACGTCCCCCACAGTCTCCTTCTGCACTGTGTAAGCTGCATAGTGGTTCATTTTCAAGCGTGAAGAAATGGCTTATAGCATCTTACTTATAAAAGCTTAACAAAGCTTAAAATAATAGAGACTCTTAAATAATAGTTTGTAGGGGCCTGATCAAAAATGGAGAACGACAAGATGAAGAAAGTCTTGGAGGGAGGCGCAGGACAGATGCCTTACGATTCTTATGCAGAATGAACCCTTCTCAGGCCCTGAAGGTCCGGGGCGTGGTGGTAAGAGATGCTCTTGTCTCTGTGTGACCGAAGTTTCCTAAGTCCTCCAGGCTGTTGGAGAATCTTAGAGAAACTCGGAGCTCTAATGCTCTGCTGAGTGTGCCACTCCCCCTGAGGCCTTATGTTTTGTGAGGTCTCTTCCCCAGAACTTGAGGTGCATTACATTTTGAAATGTCCTGGCTCTTTTTCTTACTGTGTTGAGTTTAATTTGTTTTCTCTGCTGTGTTAGGTGGAAGAATGTCACTTGCCAGGCCTTGGAGTAGCTTTGACATTGGATCATACTAAAACTGAAACTTGTGAAGACGGAGTGAGTGACTTGGTTTGCTTTGTTAGTGGCTTGCTTCTTGGAACAAATGCGAAAGTCAGGACTTGGTTTGGAACGTTTATTCGAAATGGACAACAGGTGAGAGTCAAGTATCTGGGTAGGAAGGATCATTACTTAGGGCTGGTTAACTAGGAGCGAAGAAACCATGTTAGAAGGCTGTGTTAGCTAGACCTGGGTGCTCAGATCTGCAGTCCCTGCACTTGGAAGACACAGGCAGGAGCATTGCTGGGATTTCGAGGCTAAAAGCCATGGGAGTCAGTGGTGGTGGTAGCACACACCTTTAACCCATCACCCTGGAGACAGAGGCAGGTAGATCTCTATGAATTTGAGGCCAGCCTGGTCTATAGTTCTAGGCCAGCCAAGGCTACGTAGAGAGACTGTGTCTTAAATAAACAAAAAGCCATGGGTAAAAAATAAAAGAAAGAAAAGGTATCTTTAGACCCGTGGTTGTCAGACTTAGTATTAGGAACCTCCTTACATAAAAAAAAAAACCATGAAGGATATGAAAGGTTTTATTTATGTGGCTTTTGTTTTTTGATATTTCCCATATTAGAAATTAACAATTTTGAAATATGCAGTTTATTAGAAGTGAAATAGCCTCAATTAAATGTAAACATGAAGTGTGTGTGTGTGTGTGTGTGTGTGTGTGTGTGTGTGTGTGTGTGTGTTCGTTCTTTTTTATTTTTGAGCTCTGTCTTGGTATTTAGTCAAGGCTGGCCCTGAATTCTTCTTGATCTTTGTGCCTAAGCCTCCTGATTACAAAAATTGTAGGAATGCCCCTCCATGCTTAATAAACATGTTTTTTTTTTTTTTTTGGTTTTTCGAGACAGGGTTTCTCTTGTGTAGCTTTGCGCCTTTCCTGGAGCTCACTTGGTAGCCCAGGCTGGCCTCGAACTCACAGAGATCCTCCTGGCTCTGCCTCCCGAGTGCTGGGATTAAAGGCGTGCGCCACCACCGCCCGGCTGCAATAAACATGTTTTTAAAAATATAACCCCACCAATAAAAAACAAAAGAACTAGGGAGAATAATAGTACTATTTTAGAGTGTTTTATCTCTCTTCAATGTCTAGTTTAGTAGCACCCTATGGAGACTGTCCTGTACACTAGTGATAAGGGGGGGACAAAGGTACTATCTGAATATTATGAAGGGCTATTTGTACTTTTGGGAACTTTCTAAGGCCCTATATCAGGCTTTTGATAACTGTTACATAAGATCGTCAAGTGAGATGTAGTCTATAATTTAATATATATATGTGCACATTTGTGTGTGGGGGGTAGTGAAATACATATAACATAAAATTTGCACTTAATCATTTTTAATACAATTCAGTGGCATTCAGAACATTCGTAGTGTGGGGCTAGAGACTCAGGAGTAAATACTTGCTACACAAACATAAGGAACTGTGTTTGGAACCTTAGTAACCATGTAAGGTAGGTGTGACAGCATTTGTCTGTACCCCGTGTTGGGAGGTTGGGTAGATACAGATGACCTGAAGGCTTCTGATCTTCCAGTGGAGCTGAAATGTCCAGTTTCAGGTTCAGTCTAAAAACAGAAGGTGGGTTAGCTAAAAAGATGACCCAGTGGTTAGGAGAACTTCCTGCTCTTCTAGAGGACACGAGTTCTATTCCCAGCACCCACACAGGGCAGCTCACAACTGTCTGTACCTCCACTTCCAGAGGATCTGATGCTCTCTGCATCCTCTGTTTCCTACATGTACGTACATACACAAAGACACATAAGTAGAGATAAATAAACCTTTAAAAGCAAAGAAGGTGGAGAGTGTTGGAAGAAGACACCCAGCATTTATCTCTAAGCTCTACATATATACAGCTTGTGCATGCGCAAGCACACACGCACGCACGCACGCGCACACACACAAAAGGAAAGAAAAGGACCATTGGCAATGCTATACATTCATAACCATTGTCTGTTTTTAGGATTTTGTTTTCTTTTTTTGTGGTCTGGGCTTTACACTTGTTAGGTAAGCACTCTTCACTGAATTCTATTCCCTGGGCTCTACAGACTCTGAACCCTTTAAACTGCGTAGTCCTCTTTCCTGTCAACTGGTAATCATGGCTCTATCTTAGTTCTCGGTGAATTCTGGGTACCATTCTAGGTACCTCATATGGGTCAAATCATAGGATGCTTGTCATTTTGTGTATATTTCCTTAAAATATTGATTTCAAGGTTGATCTTGTAGCATGTGTTGGAATTTCCTTGGCCAGGTATGGTGACATCTACCTTTAATCCTAGCACCCAGTAGCTAGAAGCAGGATTGTGGTATGGATACATTTCACATTCACTGCCAGCCGGGCTATATTATGAGAACTTTCCCCGGTGTAGAAACACACCCTGGCAAAGGAATTTCCTTCCTTTTTAAGGTTTGCTGAGACTGACCTTGAATTTGGCTTCCTCTGCCTCTACTTTTGAGTCACAGATTTTAGGTATACAATAGTGTGCTTGGCCTGTATGTTATATTTTGCAACAAAATTGTTTGTTTGTTTTTTGTGTTTTTGATATAGGTTCTTCCTTTGTTGCCTAGGCTGCCCTGGAATGTAGTAGTCCAGGCTGACCTCAAATTTTAAGTTTGGCTGGGCGGTGGAGTGATGGTGGCGCACGCCTTTAGTCCCAGCACTTGGGAGGCAGAGGCAGGCAGATCTCTGAGTTCAAGGCCAGCCTGGGCTACAGAGTGAGTTCCAGGACAGGCTCCAAAACTACACAGAGAAACCCTGTCTCAAAAAGAAATTTAAGTTTGAGGTAATCCTCTTGAGTGTTGAGATTGATTACAGGTATGACCTCCATGTCCAATGGCCTTTCCCCTCCTCAACAGTTTTTAACTTAGAGAATACTTAGTTTTCACAAAACACTTTTTTAGTGCTTCTGAGTAGAATTACTTGTGCAGACTGACTTTTAACACGTTCCACTCTGGTGGACAGCATGTGTATGGCTTAGAAACTATTATACCATGGAATCACATTATTTTACATCCAAGACTTACTTTCTTTACAGTCCATTTGAAAACTACTCTTCAGCTTTGCTTTTTAAAAGGAAAGGAAATGCATGTCCATTGTGTGACTCCTGTGTGTGGCTGTGTGCTCGTCTTGTTCCTCATAATCCATTGTACACAACACACTTTTCTTCTTGGAATTGAACATTATTGTTCAGGCGGGTTTGTTAGACTTTACTGGACAACAATCTGAAGAATAGCAAGCACTGATTAAAGGTATATGCCACCATTCCTGGCTAAGGAAATGCCTCTCCTTTTGTAGTTTAGAATTGCTTTCATATGTCTGACCTTTCTTTGTTCATATCTTAGTAAGCATTGAGTGCTTGCTACATGTCAAGTACAATGTTAGACTTGAAGAGTGAGTGATAATTAAAACATCCCTGCCTCAAGAGCTGGGGCTGGGGTGGTGGTTTAGATTTATAAACTCTAATTATGGTGTCTTTAAAGGTACATAATGCTAACATTTACTTCCTTGTCAAGAAGGAACTTGGGGTTCAGAGAGGTTCACTAACACACTGTGAAGCACATAATTCATAGTGAGCTAGAGCTGAGGCTTTCAGGTTCTCCAGACACCAAGTGCTGCTGCTTTATGTTGGAAGTACCAGTGTGGCGTGGAACTGAAGCCCAGTCCTCTGCAAGAGCAGCCAGTGCTCTTAACCCCTGAGCCGTCTCTCCAGCCCCCGCTCCCCTGTGAGTTTTTAAACAAGTTTTTGTTCTATAGCCCTGGCTGTACTGGCACTTGCCATGCAGACTGGCCTGGCCTCCAGTAGCTCTCCTGGCTCTGCCTCCAAGTGATGGGATTTACAGGAGTGGACTGTCTGTCACACCCAGATGAAAATACTGTTCACAACTCAGTTTGCATGAATTTAGTTTTGGGGTGAATGGATGAGTAGATTTTGAGTTTTCCTGACTTGTTAAAATGGAACTGCAGTTATGACAGGCCGTTCATGTTGGTTCAACTGCACGTGCTCACGTGATGAGATCTGTTCAGCTTCCTTTTGATTTAGTAAATGTCCCATGCTCTCTTCCTTTGCCAATTCACACTTACAGAGAAAAAGGGAGAGCAGCGGTTCTGTCCTTTGGCAGATGAGGAGGCAGCTTCTTCTGGAGTTGATGGGCATTCTTCCTACAGTAAGGAGTACTCGTATTGTAGAAGAAGCCGATGTGGAGATGGAGCCTACTGTGTCTGTGTACTCGGGGCTGAAGGAAGAGCATGTGGTGAAAGCCAGCGCACTCTTACGTCTATACTGTGCCTTGATGGGGATTGCTGGACTCAAGTACTCAATCTGATATTTTACCTTTTTATCTTTCTTCTTGTTTCTGACCTCAGAGAAGTGAGCCAAAGGCCTTTTATTAAGAGACTTGGGCTTTTAATTTTACTAGTTTATGTCAAAATTGAAGCCATTAAGGCCAGCTGACCTAATTTCTGATTATAAATAGAATTATGCAGATATTGGAGGGAGGAGAGTATTTTATCAGTTTTTAATCACAATGTAAAGGACTCTGTTTTACCAGTTTGAGAAGATACCCCTGAGAGACCTGTGAGTGACCACTCCTGTGTTTCAGACTCGACAGGACGTGGCTCTGGAGCACAAGGTTCTAAGTCACTGCACCAAATTTTCCCAAATAGTGTCCTCAGCTGGTATCAGAACTTTCCCGTGTGTGTCTCCAGCTCATGTGCCTTGCGGTTCTGACAGTTTAGTTGAGCAAATGCTGGCCCATCAGTTTGGTTTAAATTTAAGTTACTACAATCCATTAACCTCACAATCCTATAAAGTACAAACTGCTGTGAGCTCTGCAGGACACATGGCCACACATCAGTAACATGTGCTTGCCGTGTTATGACCTCTGCTATTCCTTCCTTTAAAGTCTATTGGTCACTGAACCCTTTTTATTTATTATTTGGTTTTTACAGAGACAACGAAGTAATTCTGTTTTTCATTTCTTAATGATAAATCCATATGCATTAAAAAAAAAAGCAGACAATTGAAAAGAGAGAATTGACCAATAATGATAAAGTGTAGGGTAATGGCTCCAGGTAAAGAATGCTTGCTCTGCAACATGATGACTTGAGTTTGAATCCCCAGCACTCACCTAAAAAGCTGAGCATGGCTGTACATGCCTGTAACCTCACTATTGTGAGGGAGAGATAGGAATGTCCCCAGAGCTCTCTGGTCAACGCCTAGTGGGAACAGCTAGTTTCTGCTTCAAGGCTTAAATAAGACAGAATGTCCTCCTGCACGTGTGCACAGACATGAACACCCATTCATGTGCACTATCATATAACACACACACACACACACACACACACACACACACACACACACACTAAGTAATTGAATGTATTTTCTTTAAGTGACGTTAAAAAATTTGTACTTGAAGGGTTAAAATGTTGGAAAATTCACTTGCTTCCTTCCTGAACTCTAAGTAGACAAACAAACAAACAAACAAATGTAAAAGCTCGTTGTTTCTCCTTCAGGCCGACTGAGGAAGAAGCTGAACAGTTGCTGCAGTTGATGACCAGCCGGCCGCCTGCCACACCAGCTGGGGTTCGATTTGTCTCCCTTTCCTTCTGTATGCTACTGGCCTTTTCTACACTTGTCAGGTACCTTCCAAGTCGCTCTGTTTTCTCAGGATGCGCTTTCATCTATCTATCTGAGTGTGTATACAGGGCGAGTGTGCAGTGTAGGTAGTATGTTTTCCCAGAGTGTAGGCTGCCACCAGAAAGGCGTAGAGCATGTTATTAAACGTTTACTTCAGAGCCTGGCCGAAGCACGGACAGTCATGGTCTCTCATTCAGTGAAGGGATAGCCACATCTCCCGAATGCCCTTTCTTCATCTTATTAGTCTTGGTCGGAGTTTCTTCTGAACATTGTTTAAAGGAGTCAGGTTGTTCTTCAAGATCTTTTTGAAGGCTAATAACTTTCCTTCCCTACTTTTTCTTCCTTGGAGGTTGTTTCTTTTAGTTCTTGAGTAGTTTTGGGTCTTACTAGTACATTGTTTAAAAGCTTTTAAAAAACTTGATTACCTGTTTATTTTTGTGTTCAATTGTGTGTGTGTGTGTGTGTGTGTGTGTATCCAAGTGCTATGGTGCACGTGTGGGGGTCAAGGGACAACTTGTAGGAGTCATTTCTCTCCTTCTACCATGTGGACTTCAAAGATGGAACTCTGGTCATCAGGTTTGGTGGCAGATGTCTTTACCCCTTGAGTGATCTCACTGGCCCCGGTACTTCATTATTGATGACACTTCTAGTTAATTGAATTCCCATTCTCAAAGATGAACAATTAGTTCTTTGTTTTTCTCTCTGTCGGAAAACACTGACATGTCTTCCTTTTCTTTTCCTTCTGTTATCTTAGTATAGTTATAATTTTAATTTGATCAATATATAGTTTATATTTGTACTATGATTATGTAAACATCATTGAGCGCTCAATCATGAGTAGGTAGTTACTTACCTTTCTTTTTTTTTTTGGTTTTTCGAGAGAGGGTTTCTCTGTGTAGCTTTGATGCCTGTCCTGGATCTCGCTCTGTAGACCAGGCTGGCCTCGAACTCACAGAGATTCTCCTGGCTCTGCCTCCCGAGTGCTGGGATTAAAGGTGTGCGCCACTGCCACCTGGCCACTTATCTTTTAAAACAGTTTTGCCTTAAATTTTCTTGATGTTCTAGATAATAATAATTAAACTAATTCTTTCTTTTTTTGTCTTTTTGTTTTTTTTAAAAAATATTTTTGAGAGCAGCCACCCCTACCCCCACCCCTGGTCCTGGGTCAATTCATGGCAAATTTGCCGTGGAGGGAGTGGTGGGGAGAAAGCAACCACACCACACAGAAGACAGAGAGACGAGGTGGGGCCAAGTCCAGGCTTTTATAACAAAGGCCTCTAAACTATCCAGTCTCAGGAGAACAGCCTTCGTGCCCCCCCAGCTCCTCCCACCCTGTTTTTCTTTTTTTTTTTTTTTTTTTTTTTTTTTTTTTTTTTTGTTGTTTTGTGTTGTTTGTTTTTTTGTGAGACATGATTTCTCTGTATAGCCCTAGCTGTCCTGGAACTCACTCTGTAGACCAGGCTAGCCTAGAACTCAGAGATCCGCCTGCTTCTGCCTCCCAAGTGCTGGGATTAAAGGCGTGCGCCACCCAATTTTTTAATTTTAATTTTTTTTTTTTTTTCAAGACAGAGTTTCTCTGTGTAGCCCTGGCTGCCCTGGAACTCACTCTGTAGACCAGGTTGGCCTTGAACTAAAAAAATCCACCTGCCTCTGCCTCCCAAGTGCTGAGGTTAAAGGTGTGCACCACCACTGCCTGCAAAACTAAATCTTTCATGGTTGTGGTAATTCATGCTTCTAATTCCAGCCCATAGGAGACCAAGGCGGGAAGTCTGCCATGAATTTGAGGCTAGCTGTCTCAAAAAAACCAATAACAACAAACCAAAACAAAGCAGGAGCCGGGGCGGTGGTGGTGGCTCATGTTTTTAATCCCAGCACTGGGGAGGCAGAGCCAGGCGGATCTCTGTGAGTTTGAGGCCAGCCTGGTCTACAGAGGGAGATCAAGGAAAGGCACAAAGCTACACAGAGAAACCCTGTCTCAAGGAGGAGGAGGGGCAGAGACAAACAAAACAAGAAAAAAACCCCACCACACACACCAAAAACCAAATCAAACCAAACCAACAAACAAAAAACAAAAGCAAGAAAACTCAGACACACAATACCCAACAACAAAGAAACAAAATGTAGCTAAATCTTCTCTGGACCTAATCTGACTCATTACACAGTCTTTTAGTTTAATCATTCTCAGAAATCTTGCCCAGGGCAGTGTTGTCTGCTCCAGTCTTGGCTAGATCCCTCCGTACCTAGTGTTCTGCAGCTGTTCTCAGGGATTGTTCTTCATTTTGCATCTTTAGAGAGCAGGCATGTGGGAGGTAAATCTTCAGAGCAGGAGTGGATTTCTGAAACTGCCTCCATTCTGACGTTTGGCTAATGGTTTGATAGCATGTAGAATTCTAAGCAGGAAGTAATTTCTTTTGGAGATTTTTGAAAGTGTGTGTCCTGTTGACAACTTCCTGTGTTGTCATTTTCTAACACCTTCCCGATCCCTGGTCCCATGGGGTGTCCTCCTTCACTGTGAAAACGTGGAGGGTTAGATCTTCCGCACATGGTTTTGAAAGTTCTGGATATCTGTCCTCAGTGTCTTTGTTTCTTTGTTTTGATTTGATTTTTGTTTGTTTGTCTTTCTGGCTGGCCTGGACCTCACTGCGGTACTCTTGCTTCAGTCCTCCAGTTCTGGGATTCCGCATGCACCGGCACATCCTGCCCAAGTTCGCATTGATCTGGTGTCCTCGGCACCCAGTGGGTCCTTTCCAATAGAAACTGATGGCCTTGAGTTCTAGGAAAGGCTCCTGAGTTAGTTTGTTGATAATGTCCTTCCTGAGGGTTTCTCTGTCTAGCACCTCATCTTATGTGACTTTTTTCAGAGATGGTCATTGGATTTTCTTCTCCTAATCTTTTCTGTGCTTTGCTTGTTCTTTTTGAAAAAATGTCGTAAAACATATCAGGAAATTTATAATTGTACCCTTTAGTTACCATTCAGTGTTTTTAGCGTTTGAACCGTTACCTGACCATTGCCACACTCTGCCTACAGGATATTTTCACCACTCCAGGAAGAAAGCATTCCGCCACCCAGGCTTTGTCTTCTGTGCAGTGTTTAATTTCTAAGAGTTCTCACTTTGTTCTTTTATTCCTTTCTTTATTTGATTTGATTTTTTGTTTGGTTTTGTTTTTTAACTTTTTTAGATCATTTTTCTGGAACTTACTGTATTGTTGAGATTATTCTTCAACTTCTAATTTTCCTGCTTCCACCTCCCGAGTATTGGGATTGTTTGTTCTGCTTCATTGAAGGGGCACTGATTGTCTTTAAGACCTTTTTGTTAAAGGGTTGTTACTGCATTTATTTATTTTGTGTGTGTGTGTGTGTGTGTGTGGGCATGCATGTGCCATTCATGTGTGTGGAGGTCAGAGAACAACTTGTGGGAATCAGTTCTTGGCATGCAGGTCCCAGGGATCAAACTCAGGTGCTTTGCCCCTGAGCCTTCTCAGTGGCTGAGAAATTTCTTTTAATGTAATTTTAGTGCTGTTCAAGAAAGTATAATGTGCCGGGTGGTGGTGGCGGCGGCGCACGCCTTTATTCTCAGCACTTGGGAGGCAGAGGCAGGAGGATCTCTGTGAGTTCCAGGCCAGCCTGGGCTACAGAGTGAGTTCCAGGAAAGGTGCAAAGCTACAGAGAGAAACCCTGTCTTGAAAAACAAAACCAAAAAACAAACAACAAAAAAAAGAGTATAATGTTAGTGAAATTAAAAATTAGAAATGTTAGCCTATATGCTTCTGCTTTTTCCTCCTCGAGTCCTTTGTAAGCATCACCTTTAGTCCTCATTACTCTGTGGTGCTGTACTTAGTTGACAGGAGGACTAAAGTTCAGAAGGACAAGCACTGTGTTGAAGATCACACTGTGAGTAACTGCACAGATGGGAGTGCCACCCGCCTCTGGCAGGCCCTCCAGGACTCCTCCGTTATAGCATTGTCCTGCACTTGTGGATTGATGAAGGATAATGAGTATAGTATAGTGTAGCGTATAAGTGACCTTTTATACTTGCTTTGCTTGGAGTAGTTAGAAATGCACACTCTTTAGTGGCTTTGCATTTTACTTACTTCCTGCAGTGAGCTGGAAGGGAACATGACATTTTTGCATAAGTCCAAGTCAGAGTGTGCCTTTTAGTTTTAAATCGAATAATTGTTTTAAAGAAGTTATTACTGTTGTTGGGCAGGTGAGATGGCTTAGTGGGTAAAGGCACTGGCCGCCAAGCATGATGACCTGATCCCCTGGACTCCCATGGTATAGGCAAGAACTGATTCCCGAAAGTTGTCTTCTGACATCTATACACATGTCAGGGTGGACATACCCACTCCTCGACACACAAAATAAATAAATAGATGGAAAAGAAAAATTTAAAAAGGAGTTATTACTGTTATATTTTTATTACCCTTTTTATATATGGTAAGCCCATGTTGTTCTTATCTTCATGATTATATAGTAATATATCTGTCTAAAATTTAAAATTCTACTCAAAAGATTTTCACAACTTAAATTTTAAGTAAAAGATGCATTAATTTGTTAGATTTTAAAACTTGGTTTCTGACTTTTTTTTTTGAGACAGGGTCTTACTCTGTAGACTAGACTAGCCTTGAACTCAGAGATCTGCCTACCTCTGTCTCCTGGTTCTGGGACAAAAGGTGGAGCCACCAAATCTGGCCTAGCTGATGCTTGTGTTTTCACACTAGATTTTTTTTTTCTTATATGAAGTAAATAATAAGTTCTTAGTATAGTTCTTTTAACATTTTAACCCCAGAGACCTTTGCTTTTCCAAGGGTAGTGGTGGCACAGGCCTTTAATCCCATCACTCGGGAGGCAGAGGTAGACGGATCTCTGTGAGTTCGAGGACAGCCTGGAATACGAGCACGTTCTAGGACAGGCTCCAAAGCTGCATAGAGAAACCTTGTCTCAAAAAACCAAAAAAAAAAAATAAGAAAAGAGGTAATGTCCCTCTCTAGCTTGCAAATATAGTTGCTAAGACTTGAGGAGGTTTTGACAGTTTAGATTCATGAAGCCAAAGCCTTCATCTTTGAGTTCTAGAACTATCTCATGTTTCAATTATAATTAATGGTCCAGTTGAGCAAACCATTCATTTGAGTTGGTATTTCAAAACAGAGGAGAAATATAACTTCTGGGAAAAATAACTTAAAGGCTGGAGAGATGGCTCAGTGGTTAATAATACTTGGTGCTCTTGGAGAAGACCTGGGTTCAGTTTCCAGCATCCACACAGTGGCTCAGAACCATCTGTAATTCTAGTTGCAGGGGATCCGAGGATGCACATGGTACATATGTACACATGTAGGCAAGCTCCTCATACATACACAATAAGAATAAGTAAATCTGGCCGGGCGGTGGTGGCGCACGCCTTTAATCCCAGCACTCGGGAGGCAGAGCCAGGCGGATCTCTGTGAGTTCGAGGCCAGCCTG